TTCATAAAGCTCATATAAAAGTCATTTATAGTTTCCACTTGCCTCAAATGTAGTAAATCAGCCACATCTGTTTGTCGTCCAATTTCTTACGTTAGTTTTGCACTACTACAACTAACCAAAGTTTATAATCCGCAAGTAGAATCATGCTAACTGTTTTTTTAACGTTTATGGAAGGTGCCGATGCTTTGTAAAGGTCAGTAAGTTTTCCATCATGGGAAAGTCTTTAGGACAGAGAACTTTGTACTTTTCTGTTTTTTGTTTTTTTTTTGTCTTTTAACTTTAACTAATTAACTTCATGAGAGAGAGAGAGGCTGGGGAGGGAATGACTGTTTACAGCTTCTATAATGTGTGTGTGTGTGTGTGTGTGAGAGAGAGAGAGAGAGAGAGAGAGAGATGGAGAGAGGGGGTGGCTGGTGAGGAAACGATGGTTCACAGCTTCTATAACGTAAGTTATAACAGGAACTAACTTGTCTCACAGATGTTCCACAACATTAAATGTAACTATAAACAGCTAAAAAGCACAGAGTGTCATTCATTACAAATTGCTTTGTAATTGTAATCGCTGACAGATTGCTCTGGTGTAAGAGGAATAAAACAGTTACAGCTGAAGCAGTTTGGGACACGCCATATCCCACTAGCCTGTCAGCCATTATTCTTCTATACCATCATCCCCTGGGGTGTTTTATTCCTTCCTTAGAGCTTGCAGTTACAGCTATGTGAAGGATGTATAAAATATTGCAGTCTATTTTAAATACATATTGACTTCCCAATTAATGCATGTGTGCCTCCAAACTCAATTTGCCTTTGAATGAATGAACATTAAATCCAAAGTATAAATGGATTGGGGAACTTGACAAATGCAAAAATGAATTTCAGTATCTTTTTAACAGCACACACAACCTAGATATACAGTACAATGCTTTCTGTGGCAAGACCTCATGAAAACAATGGCAAAGTAATAATAAGCGGGTTTTAATATTTATCTGGTATTTAATATATTTCAGACTATATTACAAAATATCTATTGGACTGGAATATGCCGTGCTTAATGACGACTTTGTGTACTGTTTCAACTGAGCAACATTTCTCCATTCAGTTTTTTTTTTCTCTCTTTCATTTGAATAAACCCAGTTTTCATATGTCCGGTTTGTCGCCCGCTGATTGGTCGAGGTCGTTCAACTGCACGTGTCTGATTGGACGTTGGTTCCTGTGCAGATTTTTTTTTTCCCCCCTCTCTGAGAATCTCCATGGTGAATGGCCGATTATCTTGGCGGCGCGCGGTAAACGCTGATTGGCTGAAGCCGCACAGGCGTTCCATGCTGATTCGTCGAATCTAGATGCCCGGTGTCCGGGTAAGATGGCGGCGGAAGAGCAGTGCTCGGCACCACCTCGATGGCAGTCGATATCTTTAACGCACGTAGAATATCCAGCTGGTGAGTATAATTTTTGTTTCTTTGTTTTTTACTAAAGCGGTTCACATCGTCGAACAGCACTTTGTCTTTGCTGGAAAGGCTGTGTGAGGTTTTACAACTGAATGGACACGACTAAGGGATTGCTTGCCAAATAGTGATACCATAGAAAAGCGCGCATACTTCGCTCAGGCGATCTGTTTTTTCTCCACTCATATTCCGACAAATCCGACCTCCTGCTTTGTGATTGGCTAAAATTCCGTGTCTGTGCGTAATCGTCGTTTGGGATACTACTGGAATTACTTGCAGTCTACGCTAACCCAACCCAGGAGGTGGGATACTGCCAGCCAATCTTATATCAGAAAGGCGGGGTTAAACGGAATACGGGTGAGAAAGAAAATAACGACCGCAGGGAGTTTAACTAGAGCTGCCGAATTGTGCATTTGATGCGCGCATGCGCGTTTATACCCGTACTCTCCCTACTGTATCTGGGACTCCCTTTTGCTGGCGTTAGACATTTAACTGTTCATAAAACCTGCGCTTAAACTCGCAAAACTCAGAACTATCGCCTTGTCATTTCTGTAGTCTTATTAATGATGTTTTTTTTATTTACTTTCTAGCTTTCACGTTTAAGAAAAGCCATCCAGAGTGCGACCAAGCTAGCTAGCCGGCTAACTTGCCAAGTTGTTTGTTTGGTTTTTAATGTTATTAGCTTCCCTGCTACGCTAGCCGTCTTTATAAACATTGCATCCCTAGCTAAGATGCTATCATGATGCATGTCATTTCAAATCAGAGCTGTAATTTAGTTTAAAAAACTAATTTTAAAAAGAGAAAAGACTTTGAGCGGTTTAACATTAGCTAGCTCACTAGCTGGTAGTGCTATTGTTGTCCTTATAATCATAGCAAGATTACCCATAAACCAAAACGAAGAATACAGCTTATTTTATTATTATTTTTATTAATATTATTTTTAAATTTGGAATAATGAATGAAACTATAACCTGCAACACACTGAATTCTGTTTCAGTCGTCGTTTTTCGGACATGGTTTCCGCATTATAAATAACTTTATCTGTTCAAACTGCTATTGAACGTGTACGTCAGACTACACGGTTAGCTTCACGTCTGGCTTAATATTACATGTAGTCTATTATTTTTTAATTTTTCCACTATAATGGTCATTTTTTTGGACACTACCTGAGGAAGGTGTGGCCAGACAGACAGGCTGCATACTACCAGAGTAAAGTGTGTGTCAAAATAGTGGCTCAAATTGTCTTTAGCCACATATCTACCCTGAGTGCATTAGTACTGTGCAGTAGTGTAGGATAAGGATTTGTCATGCAGCCATAAAGACCTGAGAAAGCCACCGGTGGTAGCGTACTAGTTTATTTAGCATACTGTTTAGTAGGCTAGCATGCGGCTTCGGACTGTAGCCAGATTGCGGGATTCCCTCGCACGTGACAGCAGATAAACACAAACGCGGGGAAGTGTGTGTGTGTGTGTATGTGTGAGTGAGTGAGTATGTATATGTGTGTGAGTGTGTGTGTATATATATGTGTGAGTGTGTTTTGAGTGTGTGTATATATGTGTGTGTGTGTGTGTATATATGTGTGTGTGTGTGTGTGTGTGTGTGTGTGTGTGTATATATATATATGTGTGAGTGTGTTTTGAGTGTGTGTGTATATATATGTGTGAGTGTGTTTTGAGTGTGTGTATATATGTGTGAGGGAGTGTGTGAGAGAGAGAGGTGATGGTGGTGGGCAGCGGATTCTGTCTTGGTCCTCTTTAGTGCGTCGGAGTGAAAACATCCAGGAGCTATCCAAGAGGAGACTGTAGTCGTCCCAATTATTCTTCCTATTAGTTTTTTTTGGGATGGCTATATTAAGCCAGACTAAAAATCCTCCCACTGAATATCATGGGACATGAAATGAGGACACAGAGCATGAGGATTTACTCACTGTCTTTACTAAAGCCTGCTTTTCTGTGGTCTTTACTTGCCACACTGTGAAATATCATCAATAAAATGATGATACCAGACTATCAGGTTGGTATGATATCTATGGTATCAGTGATAAACGTGTTCTATGTGTCAGATTACATGACGAAGATCTTTAATACACAGGTTCTCAGTCCTGGTCCTGGAGTACCCCCTGTCCTGTAGGTATTATTGTTGCCCCTACTCCATCCATCCATCTTCCATTCCGCTTATCCTAAGGTGGGGGACGCCCTGGATAGGTTGCCAACCCATTGCAGCACACAATCGCACATTATGGACAATTTGGATTGGAAACTGGAGTACCTGGAGGAAAACCCCAAAGCCCCGGGTTCTCTAATCAGCTAATCAGCAGTCCTTCCTGCAGGGAAGAACAGGAAAAGCACTAAAGTCCAGGGATACTCCACGAACCTGTGTTCTTACAGTTACAGAAAAGTACTACATTTTGCATACATCATCAATCAAAAAATTTATTGCACAGGGCTAGTGATTTATGATTGGTTACCAGTAGACAAAGAACTTCATGCTTATTGGTTAAATAAAGATACCGTTAACATGAATGATCCTACGTGACTATAAGATTAGCGGGAAAGAAAGTACATATATAGTAAAATCCACCATGCATAGATAATGAGACATGTCTGTAACTTTATTTCCCTTCGGTGCAGGTGCCTTAAATCAGTCCCGATCAGGCGAGGAGGTCTCCCTTAAACCTAAAGCCTCCCTTACTCCCTTAAGCCTTACGTCAGACCTTCAAGGACATCTCCCTACATCCTTACACACAAGCAGATGTGCTAAACTTCTAGCTACCAACATAACGCATGACTACAGAATATAATTCAGGATTAACTAATGGATAAATGATTCACAAATTAAGGACGGCATGAAATTAAATCATCCACTTTCATCATTTGCAAAGAAACCACACAGTGTAAATAGGCTTAAAGCCAGGATTACATTGCACGATTTGTTTTAAGCCTAATTTTGCTGTTGCAGGCAAACATCTCACATCATAAAAGATTCTTTGGTCATGAGTTAAGATTAGCCTTAAGCTGCCTTTACTCTGCACGATATTCAGCCCGTTTTTGGTGTCGCGGGCACAATCGTAAAGGATAATCTTTGGTCGGGAGTTGAGATCTTAGAACGCGTAATGTGACATGCTTACCAGTGGCTGATTTAGTGCCGCTGCGACCAAAGACAACAGACGAAGTTCTGTCAGTGTCAGAAAACTTTTGCTTAAAATCTCAGAGCGTGAGCGCTGCTACGACACTCGTCTAAAATCTACCAATAGGAGGACGGCATATGATGACACAAAACTCACGCTACAGCTACAAACATGGTAGTAAACAAAACGTATGGAATTTGAAAGATGAGCGGTTTGTTGAATTGCGGCATCAGACAGAATGTCTTTATAATGTCTCGTCACAGTTATATCATGTTGTTGGGGGTCACCACAGCGGATCATTGGTCCATGTATTTGATTTGGCACAGTTTTTACACCGGATACCCTTCCTTATGCAACCCTCCCCAATTTTTAGCCGGGCTTGGGACCGGCACTGAGAGCGCACTGTTGCACGCAACTCCAGTGGCTGGGGTCGGTTCCCTGGCCAGGAATCGAACCCAGGCCGCAGTGGTGAGAGAGCTGTGGCCTAACTACTAGTCCACCAGAGTCCCGTCTCAGTTATATCATGACATGCGACATTTTTGCGAAATAGAGGATGAATTACATCTTCCAGGTGTGCAGCTAGCACATAAATTCTCTGTTCAAAGGGTTTCTTTACTATCATGAAAACACTTTCCAGTTGAAGAGCTACAAACCCTTTGCTGCGTCACTGCGCAGCCAGTATGGCAGAACATAGTAGCTACGTTCATCGTTTAATCTGACATGAAGAACACGTGCTATCGCACAGTCTGTTACGGAATTTTTATTGGGATCATGTCGTACAGTGTGACGAATAATAATCGTGAAAGATCGCTGGAAAAACGGCTTTAGAATGCATAATGTGCTGTGCTCACTCTTGGCTATTTTAGTGCCAATGCAACCAAAGACAGCCAACACTAAAGTTCTGGCAGTGTGAGAAATTGTGGATTATAATCTCAGACCAATGCAACGTCACACAACGCCACTTGTATACATACAATCTCATGGGACAGCAACAAACATGGTCGTGGCAATGGCCACCAAAATACTAACTTGCTCACATGAACTAATATAAGAATACTTCCTACATGCATGACCCTCATACCTCAAACTCTTCTTGATGAATGGACATTCCATGCTGTCCTCTTTTACCCAGCCATGAAAGACTCCAAACTCCTCTTCTCCGCATTACTACTGTTATATGCGACCTCATTCTTTGCACGATCCCGGATCATGCCCATTGATTACGTGAGCAGAAGGTAGTCATTTTCTTCAATCGCATTTCTACAGTTAGAGGATCTCAAACGTAATCTGTGACATGGAGAACAGAACACATTATTACACAGTCTGCTATAGAATAAATTAAATTTTATTGGGAACATCGCTAATAAGTAATAATCTTAAAAGACTGATAATCACACAATGTCAAACAAGCTTATGTTGGAGAGAGAAGCGTCTCTATGATGAGGTTTAACAAATTGCATGTAATCTGTATAGCCAACACTAGGACTGTTTGTATGCCCTATTGAGTTGTTTAGAATTTGATTTTATGCTAGTGTTGTTTTGAAGCAGAATGTTCAATAGCCAGGCTGTTATTTGACTAGCATAACCTCACAGCTGTTTGTTGATACAATTCACCCTTATGGAGGAGGCCGTCCTTCACTGTCAACATCTAACGCTGCGTTCGACTTACCTCGAAAGTGAGAAGTCGGAGATCAGAATTATTTCATTTTCGAGCTACAAAGTGGGGAAAAACCATGAACGTCTTGTTAGGTTTGTCTTGTAGGCAACAAGCTAGCCAGCTAATCATGATGAGTGATATATTTTCCTGCTCAAAACAGAGAACTGTATAGTCAGTGTGTGTTGATTGATCTATTGCATAATGCAAAGGTAAGAGGTGCTACTTTGTTTACTTCTGATGCTGTGCGCAGCCATGTAGATTTGACGTCACTTGCTGAACTCGGAGTTAAGATGAACATCCCGAGTTCCCGAGTAGGAATTCCGAGTTACGACCTTTAGCCTAATGCAACACAACCTCTCCTTGCTTGTGTTCTTCACAATAAAATGCTTTGATCTGTACAGAATATAATATATTTTATATATAATGTACTACATTTCATTTTCAAATAAACCAGATCTTCCCTAAAGCAAAGTGTTGCTCATGGTCTTTACTGCAAAGTTGCTGAGGAATCTCCATAGTGAGATCTGTGATCTAACTATTCTAATGTTGGCTTTATTTATTTATTTATTTTTTAATGAACAGGTGATCTGGCAGGGCAGATCCTGGCGTATGCCAGTCTGCTGCCGATGGCGATCCTGGTTGGCTTTGTCACGCTCATTGTCTTCAAGAGAGAGCTGCACACGGTGAGCCTTCTGACCTCTGACCTCTTGGATCATGTATAACTCTGCTCTTGAGGTTCTGCCGTCTTTTAAGATTTAATTCCACACCGGGGTATTGCTCTGTGGTTGGCCTGTCATTGTGTATCTAAGTGTTTAGCTCTTAAAAATGAACGTTTCAGTGATCGTACTGATAATTGTTCCACTATAAGTGGACTAAACCTTTGACAGAATGCACAATCATTTCGAATAGTAATGATTTCACTAATATGCAGCCAAAGCTCTCTCTCAGTTACATAACTGTAACTTCAGCAATGAGCCTCTTTTACTCTAATATTAGCACTTAACATAAAGCATGTTGACAGGTGACATCAAATCAGGTGAATATCAAATGTTCAGATTTTACACCATTATGCATGACTTCCAGTTTAACTTAAAACAGTAAACTGGTTAGACAATAGTTACAGGTTGTAGTTACAGCAGTGACTGTACACTGTACAGTTCTCCAAAAATGTGTTCAAACTATGTCTTCATATTTCTGTTTGAGCCTATAAATGCTTTACAACAATTCTGAGTATTCCCATTCATGGGATTTATACTCAAAAATGGGAATTGAAGAAATGAATGTTGAAATTAACAGTTAAATTAATTTCAGTATGTATACTAGTCATCAAAGGTTTGAATCCGGGAGCAGACAGGAATACATTATTTTCATGCCTATAGATTGTGAAATAGTACATTTTTCATTTCAACACTCAGAAACCGTTAATGCTTCAAGCTTTTGCACTCAACTGTATGTCCAATTAAAAGTTTTCACGTTCTTTCTGATGTGCATTTAGAGCTATGATCAGGTACATCATATAGCCCACTAGCTGAGTACTCGAGTAGACAATGCTCTATCAGAGAACTAGAGAGCTAGTGGTGTTAGAGCAAAAATCTAATCATGTGTGTCCTAGAGAAAATCAGTTTAGATAGTCTTTTACACTAACTAACTGACTAAATAAAATCTTTCTCTTGCAGATCTCGTTCTTTGGCGGTTTGGTGATGAACGAAGGGCTAAACTGGTTGCTGAAGCACATCCTACAGGAGCCCCGCCCATGTGGAGGTAAGCCCCTCCCATCAGTGTTTTTTTTTTTTTTTTTAAGGCTTTAAAGCTTCAAGACTTTATCAGGGGCCTGTTCTTCATACGTGGATTACTGAATCAGCTGGATTGGATTGTTGTCGTTTTGACATAATCTTGAGTTTATCCATTCTTTGAAACTGGTGTTAGACTGTTGTTACCAAGACAACAAGCCTGCAAACTCAAACCTGCTCAAGAGATGGCTTGTTCAACATTGGACAAGATTAGATTTGTGCATTTAGAACCATTATATATTCACAAAATCACACTAGTGCATACTTTCACTGGCCACTTTGAACACACGTAGACCTGCTCATTCATGCAATTATCCAATCAGCCAATCATTAAGCAGCAGTGCAATGCATAAAATCATGCAGATACAGGGCAGGAATTTCAGTTAATGTTCACATCAAATATCAGCATGGTTGTTGGTGCCAGACAGGCTGGTTTGGGTATTTCAGAAACTGCTGATCTCCTGGGATTTTCATGCACAACAGTCCCTAGAGTTTACCCAGAATGGTACAGAAAACATCGATTGAGCTGCAGTTCTGTGGGCAGAAACACCTTGTTGATGAGAGAGGTCAGAGGAGGCTGAGCTGACAGGAAGACTACGGTAACTCAAATAACCACTCTTTACAACCGTGGTGAGCAGAAAAGCATCTCAGAAAGTAAAACACGTCAAACCTTGAAGTGGATGGGCTGCAACAGCAAAAGACCATGTCAGGTTCCACTGCTGTCAGCCAAGAACAGAAACGAGCCTGTGCCCATGTAGCCCACTTCTAGATTCCTGTTCCCGATTTAGTTGCGAGAGCGTTTGAAGAACAGGGCCCAGGAAGGAGGCACTCCAATGCTTCACCAGTTGCAGCAAGGATAGAAGATGAAATCAGTTAAAAATATGTATTTATAGTTCATCCTGCCAGTGTTGTAATGTTGTATACAGTAACTATGCATGTATCACATATAATATATCGTTATGTGCTGTTATTTCAGGAGGCCACAGCACAGTAACCACAGAATACGGCATGCCGTCCAGCCACTCGCAGTTCATCTGGTTCTTTGTCGTTTACTTTTTTCTCTTTCTTTATTTAAGGTAGGTCATTATCAAGGTCAGTATAATGCCTTTGAATTTAATAAGACATAAAATAGAACAGGTAGGAAACAAAATAGACAAACGTCCACTGGGATACAACATTTATATCTTTTTCCTATAACATGTTTTAATCTATAGAGTAATTTCCTCCCATCACAGATGCTCTACAAAGAAGAAAATTAAAACAGTACATTAAAATAACAGATACAGACAACATACTTGGTTTTATATTAGATGGCAGATAAGAATAAAATGATCCTTGCTGTAAACCATCTATAAATAAAAAAAAAAAAAGTGAATGCTAGACTTTTTTTTTTGTTTTGTTTTGTTTTTTCCCCCCTGACAGAATGCATCAGACAAACAATGCCAGATGTGTGGAGTTGTTATGGAGACATGTGCTGTCAATCATCCTACTGGGTGTGGCTTTGTCTGTGTCGTATAGCAGGTAAGGATTGTGTTTGTTGTAATAGTTGTTGTAATATTGCATTATTGATCAAGGTGTTTATCATTTGTTTGTGTTTACAGAGTTTACCTTCTCTACCACACCTGGAGTCAGGTGATATATGGGGGCGTAGCTGGAATGGTGGTCGGCGTGGTCTGGTTCTTCATAACACAGGAGGTGTTGACGCCGATCTTTCCCAAGATAGCAGCCTGGTAATGCACACACATTCTAAGTTACAAAAGGAACATTCTCAGTTACAAAAGGATTTAAAATCTGAACGCATTACCGAAAACTTTTATTTCACCATTTCTAAAAATCACATATGTAATATTTGAATTTGAATATAAGTATTTTGAATAGGGTTCCGTGTATCCTGCACAGTCTGTACTGTTCTTTTTAAATTTATTAATCAGAAAGCTTAGCTTATTTATTTATTTATTTATTTGTAATGACAAAAAAGTATATTTGATGTCTGAGTGTTTTGGGACCATGTGTCCACTATTGTAGCTATAGGAAGCATTTTTATATTTTGATAGCGTGA